CCCTCTCTCCCTCTCTTACCACCCCTAAAAAAAAAAAACCCGAAGGGAAATTACCTTCATAATTCTCTTCTATGAGAATTACTTTCAAAATCCTCTCTCTTTCTCTCATATATGAGAATTACCTTCTTACTATTACTACATTTCCCATCCATGTTATACAGAATGGACAACTTAAGGGTGTGATGGGTGCAAGTGGAGGATTGAGAATAGTTCCTGCAAATATACAAGTCTACTTGAACCATTTCATTCACCGAATGGACCCATTCGAATCGATTCTCGCACCTCGACTCTACCATGCAGTAAATTTCTAATCACTTGCTAATCTTCATCCATGTTTTAAATTTTTTAGGGCCTTTATGGATGACAAATAATCATATAAGGAGTTTACTATCCAAAATTAAAACTCTATATTATTAGTTGTTAGATGTATATTTTATATTATATTTAAAAAAAATTATGGATACCTCCAAATTTAAATTTGTAGACATCTTCCTCCAACACTCTATTGTGTTCTTAGTGCCTAGATATTGTATCATAAAATTTAGTTGTTTTTCAGCTTGTGCCCAACATTTTGGAATTCGAGAAGTGGGACACAGTGAGCGGCTATCACATTGAAGTACCCCTAGAGGATAGGGTTGACCTGGCAAAGAAGGGCCATGTCCTAAAAGCCTTAGCATTTGGGGCCAAATGCCAATTTGTGGTTCACCACCTCCCCCGTTGGCCACAGGGAGAGACCGTTGTCACAGCAAAACTCACAGGCGTAAGTGACCCAAGAAAGGAAGGTGAACCTGCTGGTTACTAATATGTGCCGCTGCTGCCTCTCTCTCTCTCTCTCTCTCTTTTATTTAAGCTGGAGGATGTTGGTTCATGTGTGTATTCCCTAACGTGCTTTAATGGCGACCCTTCTTGTTTCACTCTCGAAAGTGAATTTGCTCCATCTTTGGTAATAAAGCCGAGTTTACATTCTAATGCCATTTAATTAACGAAACTACAAAATTATCCTCCCTATTTTCAATTTTATGCTAAAGTCCACCTTTTTAGTATTGTTATTGTTCTTTTTGTCATTCTACTTCAGCTTGGATGTTGAAAATATTGATTGCTTTACGTAAGACTTGCAATTTGGATTTTTTTTGTTTTTTTTCTCTAAAATTACTTTACAATAAGTTTCACAAATCTAGAATTCCATCCAATGCACTTGCCATTAGTGCGTCGGACTAATAATTAGAAGTAACAAAATATGGAAATTTAATTAATAAAAAAAAAGAGGAAAAAAAAAGGACAATGACCGTTTATAAACAAACCTTTTTATTAAAAATCGACCCAACATTTCACACTCAAAGTAACGCCATCAAAAAAAAAAAAACAAATAGAAAATTGAGAAAATTATAGATACCTTCAAAATCAATTTTTTAGACATCCTACTTCAAAACTTTTTGTATCCCATTCTAAACTCAAATTATATTTTTTTATATATTTATCCCTCCTAGGTAAAAAAATAAATGGATTTAAAACAAAAATGCTGTTACTCTCTACCTTCGGTCAAGTGATTCTCTCTTTGCCCACATTCTCTCTCTCACACAAAGTAAAAATCCATTATCTCTCTCTTTCTCTCTTTCATTCTCTTTCTCTTTTGTCGCTTTCATTCTCTGTCTCTCTCTCTCTGTACCTGCCCTCTCTCTTTATCTCTCTAGCTATGGATTAAGATTTTTGCCGTCCGACTCCCAGTGTGTTGGACCTGTTAGAATTTGCGCTAAGGTTGGTAATATGGTCAGGCACACACTGTGCGAGACCGAAATTTTTTAGGTTCCGCATAAAAATGTGCTGGACCGCAAAAAGTTTCGGTCCAACACCGTGTGTGCCGAACCACATTACATGCTTGAGAAAAGCTTATTGGAACTCAATGCAATCCAACACAATGTATCGGACCACATTACCAACCTTAATCCAAATTCTAACCGGTTCGACAGACTGGGAGTCGGACCACAAAAATCTTAGTCCATAGCTAGAGAGAAAAAGAGGAGAGAGAGAGAGAATGCACGAGAATAAATGGGTTTTTACTTTAGAGGAGAGAGAGTGAGCAAAGAAAGATAGTCAAGTGACCCTAAAATAGAAGAGAAAAGTGATAATAAGGGCATTTTGGTCTTAAATCTATCGAGTTTTTGACTTGGAAGGGTAAGTATAAAGAAAAATAGTTTGGGGTTCACGGTGGGATACAACAAGTTTTGTGGGGTATGATGTCTGGAAAGTTAATTTTAGAGAGTTTTTATAATTTTCTTTAAAAACATTTAGGATAGGAAAAAAAAAAATGATAGTCATTGCTTCCATTTGCTCTTTAAATAATTTGATAGTATTCGATTTTCATTCTCTATGTATATTAACTCTCCGATTGCAAAATCACATGATTATTTATATGGTTGTCAACTCTCCGATTGCAAAATCACATGATTATTTATATGGTTGTTGCATATCGATGTACTATTCTTTTGTATATTTACAATATTATTTAGGTGAACGCTTATTGTATATCCACGAACTCTTGATTGCACATTTATACGAATATTTATCCAATTTTTTATTGAGCATCAAAACAACTTCTTCTAATAAAAATTTTAAGGTAGGCTAGAGCCTGGTTCTATATAAACTTTTCCTATTTGTAAAACTATAAGTGGACGAATGGTCATCCCTAGGTACTAACAAGTGTGTGATAAACAACACTTACAAAAACCCGGTGCCCTGCTTTTTGTTTTTTCTTTTTTTTAAAGGACTCCGTGTCTGCTTAATACAAAGGAAACTTGTTTAATACTGCAGGGACCGCATTTCTACATTTGCCGTCTAGAAGTTACATTTGCCGTCTAGAAGTATAAAGTATCCATCTTTGCTATGCTCGAAGTGTAAAGCATCCATCTTAAAGATGGATGTACATAGGTGGTCCAGCTAAAAACAATGGGAGCTAAACAACCCGTTTAAATGTTTTCTTAATAAAATTATTATTTTTAATTTGTTTATTCATTTGTATTTATGACCTCCATATTAGATATTATATTTCTTTTAAAATTAAGTCAAAAAATTTATTCTAAGAATAAATTTTAAGAGGTGACTCATTTCTTCATGGAATCATAAAAACCGTTTCCTTGTTATTACCATAAAACCTTTCTTTTCCAAAAAAATTAAGTACAGACATGTTTTTATTATCATATGGGGGAGCACCGCCCATCCACTACGGTTTTTTCCCCCAAATTGCCCCATACACACCTTAAATGTATTGGGATTAAATACAAAAGGGTTCGTACTCCTACAGGAGTATAGTGCAAGTTTACTACATTAAAAATTACTTTGAGGGATTTTGTCATTTAAAATTTTGGAAACCACCTAATTATCACTAGATTATTATATTCAAAAGTAAAGTTTTGAAATTTGATTTTTTGATGTTTAGATCACACCCTCTAAAAATTGGATGGACTATATTCAATTTTGAGACTATCGATTTAGGTGTGTAGAGGATGCAATTGGGAGTATTTTTATTGAGGTTAATCTATGAGTTGAACATGTTATATTTTCAAATTTTAGGTTACTTAAATTAATCCTAAGTGTAGTTTTACCCTAGAAAATAATTGAATAGTTTACGCTCGAAGGAGTATAAATTATTTGGATAATTAAAGTAAAAGGTACCCCTCATACTTTTTTTTATATAGCGAGAGTAATGATCACTTCAAAAGATTATCATTAAAATTAACACAGATCTTTATAAAAGTTATTATATAAGTGTGAGATTTGACTTTTTTAGAGATCTGTGTCAATTTTAATGGTGATCATTTGGGATCCTACACACCATCGAAAATTACAGTTCAAGCATTGAAAAGCCTTTACAACGATCATCTAGGTGTGAACATTATAATTGTGAAAAATAATTAGGACTCTAAGCTTTAAAAATATTACATATTAAAACAAATTATCTAAACCGTCCATATCACCCTAAAACTAAGTGTTCATCGATCTATATGATCTCTATCATTTTTTTGCTATCAAATCTTTTGTCAATGTTGGAAATTGATTTTAGATCCATCATGTATATTTCCATTACCGAAAGTGCTTTCCAGATGAGGATTTGAAATAAGGCTTTATTTTGTTTACATAAAACCTAGGCCTTATAAAAACTTCATCTTTTAAAGTAAGTTTGGACCCGGCGTCAATGCGGCAAAGCCCTCATATGTAGAAATATGGGCTTATTCATAAATTTATTTTTGAGGTGGATTTTAAGACTTAATTTTTAAGAACATGTAATCTCTAACATGGAGATCATGAATATGAAAAATAAATAAATTTTAAAAACTAAAAATAATAATTCTAGTAAGAAAACATTTGGACCATTAGTTTCCATTATTTTTAGATGAAACACCTACTTGCATCCATCTTTTGGACCGTTAGTTTCCGTTATTTTTAGATGAAACACCTATTTGCATCCATCTTTAAGATGGATGCAAAACATATGTAGAATGCGGTCTAGCCCACATGAAACAATTTTCCTTTTGTTACACTGTACCATAATTGAAGTGTAAACCCTTATTAAAGACCGAACCTAGTTTCTATGTGGCCAAGCCCACATATGTAGAAATACAGACATCTCAATAAATCTATTTTTTGAGATGGGTTTTAGGACTTAATTTTTAATGACATCTAATTTCTGACGTGGAGATTATGAATATGAAAAAATAAATGAATTTTAAAAACAAGAAATAAAATCCTAGTCTTAAAACATTTGGACTGTTAATTTCCATTGTTTTTAGATGGAACACCTATTTGCATCCATCTTTAAAATGGATGTTTTATACTTTCTTGATAGCATATGTAGAAATGTGGTCCAGTCCGCATGAAACAATTTTCCTTAAAAACCTCAACACTTTTGGACTAAAAAAACCAATATATTTAATTGTAAGAAAGTTTTGTTACACTACACCACTTATGGTGTAAACCTTTATTAAAGTTCTCAACACTTTTTTGACTGAAAAAAACCAATATGGTAAAAAAAGAGTGATTTTTGTTCTTTTTCAAGTGGGAAAAATTCTCCCCCACCACCTCCCTCTATCCCTCTATGCTTACCCACCATAGCCTCCATCATTCTCAAGAACTCTCTCTTTGCAATAATCTCTCTCTCTCAAGAATCCCTTCTCTCTCAAGATCGTTTCTCACTCCAACTGCTCTCTCTTTCATCTCTTCTCTTGAAATTGCTTCTTACTCCAATTGCCCTCCTTGCTATGGCCTCTCACAAAGCCTAAAAATTAGCCAAACTGGTGTACTTCCAACCTTGAGGGATAAAAAATCTCTTTAAAGTCCTTATAAAAGGAATTTCTTTTTCAAGAATCACGAGTAATATGAGCAAAAACAAATCCACTAATTTTAGTCAATTAAATCTAAGCCTGGTATAAAACCATGATGTAGAGAGAAAAAGCCATTTAGAGAGAGAAAAAAACAGGTTCTCTAGAGAGAGAAATAAGTGCCGCTGAGGTATGGCTTTCGGACCACTGGTCTGGTATTGCAGGCCCATTGCAAATGGGATGTGGGCAAAGGCCACGGTCAATGCTTTTGGGGTCCACATGCCATGTGGAATGGAGGCTCCGGTTCTCTATGTCTCTTGTGAGATAAGAGATGTAGAGAGAATGGGAATCACGACCTTTGGAGCAACATTTAGGGAGAAGTTCTTCTCTTAAAATCTTAATGGTTGAAGGAGTAAAATGCCCTCATAAACAATATAGAAAGTATTGTGTCACGCCCCAAGAATTTACAATACTGATATTCCTGAGATGTGACAGTCAAAACATATATACATCTCTTGATAGGACAAATTTACAGTGGCAAATTCTTACAAAGTAACAAAAGAAAGTTTAAGCACAACTACAGTATCTTCCAAAGTTGATCCTAACGAGCACTCAAAATGAAACCGCAGTTATCCTGAAAAAAATGTTTACCATAATTTGATGAGTT